TTTTTTTTTTTTTTTTTTTTTTTTAACAGCATGCACAGGAATATATACTGTCAAATGAGTTTCCAAAAATAAATACAATTCAAAGAAAATTGCACATGATAGTGGAATGTACATCTCTTATTTGGATAAGAAACATCTAGCTAACTGTATGTACTTCTCATTTAATCTTAATGGTTTTTTACTAGGCTTAGGGGTAGTACTTACCATGAGATAACATAAGAACTAGCATAGGATGTTCACTGAAAATTGGAGGAGAAAAAAATGTGAGTACTATTTTAGCAGCTACAATTAACCATTCTAGGCAATTTTTGTCATCTCAGCTGGAGTTAGGGTAATGGGAAATAAGACAACTGAGAAACCTAAGCCGTGGGAGAGGTTAAAGAAGCCTTACTGTTTTTCAGGCAACAACTGAAGAGAAGCAGCTTGATCAACAAACTAGCCCGTATATGCAAATTTTACCATGCTTAGATTAAGATAAGATTGGATTATCTGGTCTTGTGCATTATATAATTAAATCATTTAATGTTAGTGATGACATTATGAGGTTCTGGCATAAAAGAAGGGTCAGGCACCAAGATGGTATCCCAGCAGCAAAGAACCCGTGTTCATGGAGAAGTTCCCATCTACAGAGGCTGTGGAAATCTCTTTGACAGTTAGTCCCTGAATTGAAGTTACGTAAGGTTTTCAGCCTTCATTGGTAAATTCTCTCCTAGGGTTCTTCAAAAACCTTTTTCTTTTATCTTTGGGTATTTGTGATTTCTTCTTTTGTTAATTTTTGGTTGTGCTTAGACAATATGCATTTTCATGCAAAGTCTGTATTGCATCATTCTTTCCTTAGTCATTGTATTGCACCTTTAATTTTTTTGAGTCAAATTCTTTTTAATTGTTCCCATTAAAACTCAGTCTTTCTAGGGGAAGACTCCTTGAACACTCTCACTGGGAGTTGTTTCCTGGGCTCAATGATAGTATGCACAACTGACAACTTCTAATACAATTAATTTATATTTGTATTGGTTTCACTGAAGAAACAGAAGAGATGGTATTGGACTAAGGACTGCATTGGGCTCAGAGAGTGATAAGTAGGGGTAAAATTGTGCTGAGAAGACTTTAAGAGAACATGCATTAGATTTACAGTAATCTTGCAGTAGCATAGCCTCTGTTTGCAGCAGACACTGAGAACTTGTACTTTTGACATCGATGGTAAAGACCCTCCCACTCCCACAAGATGAGCTGGGTCAGTGCATCATGTTGCAGTGTTTGTTGGCTCTGTCCCATGGGATGTGACAACACTGTTTGCTGAAAGCAGGAGGCTTGTGTAGGTTTTTTATCTGCTCTAATTTGGGCCTGACTGCACTTAGAATTTAAGCTGATGTCCAGTGGGATTAGCACTGGAATTGAGCATACTCAATACCTGCATTGTATGGAAACAAGACCCAGACAGTTCCCACTGGCTTTTCATCCCATCTTCTCCCAAATGAAACAAACAAAATATCATTAATGCTGAAACTCAATGGAATTCCTGTGCTTGGAACATCCATGCAATCAAGCCCAAAGGTTTTTAACATTGGTAGTTTTTCCAGCAATCTGTATACTGTCCTCTGCAATTGCAAAAATAACCTCCTCATATTGAGAAGGATAAGAGTTGTCCATCAGATCTTGTATTTTATTCATAGAAAGAAGATGTTATGCTACTTTTCATTACTTTTTTCAGTGTGTGTTAAGTATATGTGAACCAAACTGTAGGTATGTTTAAGGTACTCTGGTCTTTATATTTATATTTATTATGACAAATTATAAAAAAGGCTTTAGGGAAAATACTTAATCATGTGTTTGGCTGGAAGGGAAAAAATACATAAGGCCAACACTGACTTAGAAGACTATAAAGGGAAATATCTTTTCTCATAGAGAAAAGAACCTCAATTCACACATGAGCTGCACCAAGTAGAACTGATGAATATAGCACAATAGTCCTAACAGATTCACTACAAGCCCTGTTCTGAATAAGAAGAATAAGAAACAAAGAGGAAGGGGGCAGGGAAATGGCTTCCTCCTTGCTCTTGGGAAGAATTAGAAAAATAGAGTGCTGAGCAATATAGGGAAAAAAAGAAAAAATAGTCACATATTATTCATGCTTCAGTCGTGTTTGGTATATTCACAGGGGCCTATTAGGCATGAAAAGAACTCTGAAATGTAAATAGAGACATTCGTTGTGTGATTTTACTTTCGTTTTTAAGGAGAAAGGGAACAGAACGAAGGGACTCCCCACTCCACTGTTTCTTAGAAGGAATCCCGTCTGAAGCTATTCTGATGAAAGCATAATTAACCTTGTTTTCATTAATGGGTCTTTCCTTTGTGGCTCAGATAACAAAAAATGGGGGAGAGCAGGGGCCACCCTGACGATCAAGGAAACGTCATAAAAATTGAGGATGAGGTTGTTGTGCGCAAACCGAACTACCAAAGGTATGATGGGCTTGAACATAATTCCCATAATTATACTAATGATGTAGAATATAGCCAGACTGGAATAACTCAGGTAATTACTTAGCATATTGCTCTAGATTCTGCAATGGCAGTCATTGTTTACATCTCTAATTATGCCGTGTGGACACATCAAATCACTCACGCTTGTTTTGACTTGAAGCATTCAAAGCAGCAAACACTGGTGAGCTGTATCTTACAGATGCTGCAATTCAATAATACCTGTTCATCCAGCTCAGGGTCCAATCCTGCATGTCTTTCATACTCAGCATTCCTGTTGCTGTGACTTCCTTATGCATTTCTTTCATTGAAAACTACTCCTTGCCTTGAGCAGATACTGAAGGGCTCCATATTTACATAGCTAAGCACTTAGCATGCCCTTGATTTTAAGAGCCTGAGTAGTCTACTGCAGGTCAGCTGGACTACTCCTCTGTTTTGAGGGAGAGTTACCACTGGTTAGGATACAGCCAGAATTTGCAGCATCAAAACAAGGCCAATTTCTTATCCTGGAGTAGTGTAGCGACAGCAACAGAAGAATTTGTTCCAGTTGCTAACAACAGTAGCAAAAAAATCCCCCACTTGAAGTTGTTATTCTCTGCCTACCATTTAAAAACTGATTTTTTGTCACAATAATGAGAAAAAAAAAAAAAAAAAAAAAAAAAAAAAAGCCAGAACATTATAGCTGCTTCATCCTTTGAGAAAAAAAGAAATGAAATTGTGCTGGTTTTGACTGGGATAGAGTTCATTTTTTCCATATTAGCTTGTATGGGGCTCTGTTTTGGATTTGTGATGAAAACAGTGTTGGTAACACAGGGATGTTTTCATTATTGCTGAGCAGACACAGAATCAGGACCTTTTCTGCTTCTCACCCCACCCCAGCAGCGAGCAGTCTGGGGGTGCACAAGAGGTTGTGAGGGGACAGAGCTGGGACAGTTGACCCCAACTGACCAAAGGGATGTTCCACGCCATATGACATCATGCCCAGCATATAAAGCTGGGGAAGGTTCAGAGTGCCAAGTAAGCGTTACATGTGATGGAGCCCTGATCTCCTGGAGATGGATTAATACCTCCCTGCCAAGGGGAAGTAGTGAATGAATTCCTGGTTTTGCTTTGCTTGCATCCATGGCTTTTGCTTTACTTAATAAACTGTCTTTATCTCAACCCATGAGTTTTCTCACTTTTACCCTTCGGATTCTTTCCCCATCCCAGTCAGGGGGAGTGAGCAAGCAGCTGTGTGGGGCTTAGGTGCTGGCTAGGGTTGAACCACGACAAAATGCTAAGACTTCTTCACTGGTGCAAATGGCTGTGTTGTGTGTTTACAGCTCTGGTGGACATAGGCAATGGGATTGATTTTTTCCCCTGCAAAGCAGTATGTTTTCTGAGGGTCGTATACAAGTCCATCTGCCAAGTGCTACAAATATTTCAACCTTTAGGACAACCTCTTTCTGCAGTCCAAAGCGTGTTGCTTTATTTTCTCTGTGGCTCCTTCTTCCCTTCTTCAGACTCAGAATAATATTGCCTGTCTTTTTGAACACTTTAGGGCTTTCTGTTTCAATGTGCAATACGAATTTGCAGTGTTAGGCCACATAAAGGATCATTACAAACCACACTGAAGGCCAGTACTGTGGACCTTTTCTTGCCCAACTGGCTGATTGCACTAGGCTGAGAGTCTCAAAACTTAGATAGATTTTGTCTTGCATATTTTTATGCAAGTTATGAGTAACCTGCAGGTATATTTATTTTGCTCTGCTGGAAACATAGTAAATATAGACTTCTAATGTTGTTTCCAGGAAAAAGGCTCGTAAAGGGTAAATTGTTCCACTAGAAACATTCTCCTATTAGATGAAGCTAGTTTACCCTTTGGCAGGAATATACCTAGCTTTCAACTGCAGTTAACAGCTCCTTGAGCATTTATAATACACTTTTTAATGGAAAGAATTTCAGGCTCTTCTATTAAATCAAATTCAATGTCAACTCTGAGGGAGAGGAAGGGGTCTTTCAAGCAGTTTTTTACACTTGTTACAGATTCTAAAAATAGGTGGCCAAAGCTGGAAGGATGTTGAGCACTTTTTAAACTCGCTTTGGCTCCAGGAGGCCTCAGTACTTCACAGAATCAGCCTGAGGGAGAGAGGACAAGAACAAAGTGAGAGAGTACATGGTCCCAGCAGCACACTGGCAGTGCATGCAAACCTTATGCAGTCACACCACCCAACAGGAGTATGAAAGGGTGTTTCAGTCAGTCACTCATTTCATCAAGGGCTCCCTCTCACCAGAGGCGTTCAGAAGGGATGATCTTGTCACATGAACTAAAGACTACAACAAGAGGAGCAGCTTTGCCTTTGGATTGCACATTTGAAAAACACTTTCAACAGAAGGGTGCATGCCACACGAATGTCCACTTCACATTGTTTGCAGGAACTACAGAAGTTTGCCCTGCTTTTTAAAGCTCATCTTCTTTTCAGTTTGTGTAAGTAAATGGATAAAGCTTCAGTCCCTCTTGCTTTCCAAATTCTTCATGGTATTGTTGAGCAGCAGATGAGCACTTTATTTATTCCAGCACCGCACTGGCAAAGGAGCAAAATGAGCTAACTGAGCATCTTTACAAAGGCTCTAGTCTCCCAAGTTTGCACATATGCTAGATGAGGCTGGAAACGTGACTCTGTCCTTCACTGTAGAATCCAGGCTGTCCATGTTTTCATGTCAGGAATTATTTTTAAAAGTCACCAGGCAAGAAGGCTTTGTTGAGGTGACTCCAGACTTCTTAAGTGGCTTGATGAAAACCTTTGTATCTTGAATAGTTATAGGGAGCAATTATTAATGGAGCCAGGCACCTTGGATGCAATTTTTGCTTCTTTACAAGAATGTAGAAAGCCAGCTTCCTTGAGCAAAAAACTTGAATAACTGGAGAGCCTCTTACCCCAAGGCAGGCATTGTTTCCCTTTGCCCCTTTCAGACTCTTTCCAGGGTGATGCACCAAAGCTACTCAAGACGCCTTCCTCAGATTGGGATTTTCCAACATTTGAGTTTTGGTGGCAGTATCAGCTAAGGGAAATACCTCCTCTTTCTTGGGGAAGGATCTCAGCTGGTCCTTCCTGCTCCATAGCTCAATACTGTAGTTTTAACCCAGATCCCCTGGCAGGGGTAGTCACTGCAGTGCAGAAAATGTAACTCTATGACAGTGCTGCCAATGCTAGGCTGCATTCAGATCACAGCCTGCCTCAGCCCTTGAACTCTGACTTGGCTCTTCCATGGGAGTCATCACCTTTAGCTGTTCCTGCCCCAGAGAGACTGCAATACCTGTCACCTCTGTTTCAGGTGGACATGCATGCTGCCTGGCTAGTGGCTGCTGCTATTTCAATAATCTATTTCTTTTAAAGAGGTTAATCATCAAAACTGAACTAGTGAAACATGCCAGCTTCAGTGGTCATGCTTACAAAAGACACTATCTCTTTTCCTTTAGATGAAAACTACTTTCTTTATCCCTTATTTGCAGTAATGGATACTCCTTATTACTTACTACAAAGCCTATTGCAAAAAATGAGGACTTTAACTATGAATGTAATACAAAAGCCTCTTCCTACCCTACAAAGTTCATGGATGTGGGCAGAAGGAGGGTGAAACACCTTAGCCTCTCTGCTAAGGGAGTTGGAGGCATAATGACAAAAGGGAGCCCTAAAATTGCTTTCAAACAATATCAGAGAGAGATCTGAGACATTAAATGAAGTTCCTCCCAAATGCGGATGCAGTTTGGGAGAAGATAATTATTGGGGATTATAACTGGTGAGGGCAAAATAAGGTGCTGTAGTGGACCGGGGGGTGTAGGACATGTGGAGAAAATGTAGATAGTATGGAAATAGCTTTCAGAAGTCTTCATAGCCTGCTTGTATATGGCAGATGGCAAGTATCCCTGTCATTTCCACTATACCAATGAGGAAACCCAAAACAACAGAGCTGACATGTCATGATGTAGGACAAGGTTAAAACCACAGGTTCATTCAACTTCATTTGCATTTCTAGCCATAATTCACATTGCAAGTGCAAGGAGCAAGACTTAGCTGCTCTTGGGCTTCTTCAGTACTGTGATTTGGCCCTGGCCTCCTCTCAAATTCAGACAATTTTGCTGCATCACTTTAGTTGTGTTTGCATTAGTTGAAGACCTGAGAGTGAATTTTTGGCCAGAGTAACCTTCACAAGGCTTGAGTCAGCAATCTGATTAACAGTGTGTGGTAGGTACTCTGCCTGTATTTTAAATTAATGAACTTGTGTATCAGTTTGTGAAAGTAAAATGCAGGACTGAAAAATTGTTAGGTAGAGATCAAACTAATAAGTGGCTGAGAAAATGCATGCATTCCCACAATACTTTATTACTCCAATGAGACAGTAAGATGACAAAAATGCAAGGGGATAAAACTCGTACTCGGTCAGCATCTTTATTCTCTAAGATGCAATTGCTACTAATTACTTTTGAATCAAAACTGAAATATTGAAAATAGTAACCCTACGTGTCATACAAGAAGGAATAAACTGTTTTAATAAAAGCCTTTATTTAAATAAAGGCAAAAATAAATGTTTGTCATTTTCTGCTGAAGAGCAGCTGCTGCACAGTGCCTCTGTCCATGCTGCACACACATGAAGAACTTGTCAAATGCAAATGCTCACCCTCTATGTCCTTTTAAAAGTGCTTGACAGATACAACTGGTAGAGCAGCAATAAAAGGCGCTGATAACAAAAGATACTTTCATCTGGAAGATGTCTATGTCTTTTGAGATTAAGCATCCTTCCTGCACATTTACTTTTACTTTTACTTTCCATGTTTCAGATAATCCTGTGAGTCCTGCTGTCCTCCTTGGCACACTAGTCTAATGCAAACATTTATTTTCTGTATATGTGCACTTCCCAGCAAAACTTTTCTAGAGCTACACAGTAGCAGATGACTATTACTGACCCGATTTTCATGAACAGCAGCTGTGCCCAGATTCAATGGCTGGACGACACTGCTGTACTAGGGACACTTGTGAGCCTACCTGGGAGGTCAGATGAGATACACATGCATGTCCTGCCCCCTGAGCTGAGAACAAGGCTAAACTGTGGTAGACTACAAACTCACCCACAGGCAACAGGTGACCACACCAGAAGTGCTCAGTGGCAGGATTCAAAACTGTGCCACAGTTTTGCTTTTCACTCCAAAAAGGGGATGTTTTACTTCTGTGCTTACTGGTTTGAGTTTCCTTTTTCTGGAACAGGATTGTAGTCATGGGGGAATAATTAACTGACCCTGCATGTGCTGCATTAGGCATAGGAGTACTACCTTTAATACTCCTAAAATTCAGGATCTGGCATCAGTATGTTAGCTTCAAGTGCTCTAGAAGTAGAATTTTTGGCATAGGCTCATCCTTTTGAGCAGGCAGCGACAGGCACATAGGCTTTTGTGTGATTCAAATATTTAAATTAAGTTGGAAGCATGGCACTGTCCAGCAACACTGCCAGGGCACAGCTGGGGCAAGGATTCTGTCTAAGATACATGAATAAAAATTTGCTGGAGGCAATCAGCCTGAGCAACTGAGCATTCTGGCCCTAGCTCAAAACACAGCTGAAGGCAGGGTATCTGCTGTACCATTAATGTGCAGCTCCACAGAAGCTTAAGCAAGGACTGGATGCACTGCTGGACTCCAGTGCCCCTGCAGCACAATGCCACATCTCTATCTGACAGGTTGTCAACTCACAATTTAATGCATTTATCTGCAAGGAATCAGATTGTGGTTAGAGCTGGAGTCAGATCAGGGATGCCAGGAGATGTGGCCTCTAGATAATTTGGTTCTCTGGGGAAAAAAGCCTCTCCAAGTGGCTGTTTCCATCCCATGAAGGTAAGCCACCAGCCTGTCCTGGTTTGAGCCAGGATGAAGCCAGTTTTTCTTTTTACTGATTTTTTTTTCCTTTAGTAAGCTTTCTTGTAGCTAGCAACAGTGTGTTCTGCTAGGCTGATAAGACAGTGGAATGTTTTTCTAACTACTGAGGCTTCAAGGCTGCACCTGCACTCTGCCAGCTCAGACACTATGGGGAGATCTGTGACCCCCCTGTAGGAGGCTGAGTTAGACAGACAGCAAAATTGGCCAAAGATATTCCATTCCATATATCTACGTAAGCTCAGAGGAAGGTCAGAGATCACAGAAGACAACTTCCTTCCTTCTTCTTCTCCCCTTCTCTTCCGTCCATTGCCGGTGTCCAGGGAGGACTCTGTTCATCCATCACCGTCGATCCTCAGGCTTGATCTCTCCTGACCCCCATAACTCTCTGCTTTCTCCAGCAGCAGCTTCGGGATTCCTCGGGACTCTTCCCAGTTCAGGGAAATGCTGTGGGAGTTGCTGAGGGTGGGGGGTGGTGAGAGGCTTTTGCCCATACCTGAATATATATCTGTATATAATTGTATATATTTTCTTGTATCATTCATTAGTGTTTTAATTAAAGCTGTGTAGTTTAGTTTTCAATCCAGCCAAGTCTCTCTCTTTTTCTCTCTCTCCTTCCCTAGCTGGGTTGGGGGGAGGGGGGATCGAGAGCATTGTTGTCGGACCTGAGTCAAACTGTGACAGAGGTGTATTGAGTGACATGCAGTCTGAGGACAGGCCAACAACAGCAAAAATCGTTTTATTGCAAAGGCAAAAAATACCAGTCAGAATAAGCAGAAGTCAAGTGCTTCAACAGAAGCAGTGCAAGGCTGAAATCTTTTAGAAAAGGAGGTGTTCTTGTCTCAATTTTCTTCTTAAAAGTTTCACTTCCTTAGGATATGTGGTTATTTTGGGTTACCACAGCAACTGCCAGAAGAGAAGGCATTTTATTTTCTTGTTTTGTTTTTACATGGAAGAAGCGGGAAGACCACCATGTACTGGAACAAGAGGGGGGATTACAAAAGCCTGCCCCGAACAAAAGGAGCTGTGTGGAGATCTTCTTACAGTACAAAGGTTCACAGTAATTCCTTTCCTGTGAAGCCACACTGAATACTCTGAACAGCTAATATGGAGTACTCAAGAGATGTCTAGCCCAACAATGATGTGAAAACCCTTTTTGTGGTGACCCAAGTTGAAGTGAGTGGGCCTCTGCCACACGCTTTGCTCTGGGCAGGGGTACACAGCTCTCCTTGGAAAGCATGTGCCTTCAGGTTGTTTGCTCTGACTGGTTTTGTATCACAGTTACAGGCCCAGCACTGTTCTGAATGAAGTTGGTTTGGTAGGAATCGATGCTGAGCACCTCAGGATCTGCTCCAACATCTTGAGTATGGCCCATCCTGTCTTGAAAAATGCAGATGTCTCTAAAGTGCAGGTGCTTTAGAGTGAGGCTACAGCAAACAGTGCCTTTCTGTTTGAAGAAATGGGGCTCAGTTGTTCACGTCCTTTACATGCGACTGTTCTTTAGAGCAAACTAAACTCAATTTTGCTATGTAGAAGTTAAATTGAGAAAATACACAATTGTGTGATTTAATAGGGAGACTGGGGCATCATTGCATCTGTTGGTTTGGAGTTGGTTTACCGTAGAGACAGGAGGCATCTGAATGATTTAGGGAGTTACTAGCAACATGTTATCTATTGAAAAGAGGGTAATTTAGTTATTTATTTGTGCACTTTATGGAAGACTATTAAGTATCTTTCAGCTCTGTGCCCCCCTACCCCCCACATACTCACCATGCTTATTTGTACTGTCCCAAGCTAATCCAGCTGTGATGTTCTCCAAGTACCACGTTTTGTCTGATACCCCTAAGAGTGGTCTTGTCTCTGGGCTCAGCTGATTTTCCTGAGCAGTTAAAACAGTTCCTGAATTGTTACGGTGTGAATCCCTGGCCTCCTGAGCCACGGATGTCACGCTGGCAAAAAGCCATCTTAAATGTAATAATAGGTAGTGGAGTGCAACGACCTCTGACCTCCCCAAATTACACAAAAAGTAAGGGTCTCTCCCACCACAGGCCAGAGCGTGACCCCAGGAAGTTGCCCTCCACCTTCCCTCTGCCCCTGCAAGCCCTCCTGCAGCAGCCAGCCTGGTGCCAGAGGCCACACTGCCTTCACGCAGAGGCCTGTCCCGGACAATGCATCCCACATCACCACACTGTCATTTGCTTCGCCTTCAGCAAGTATATCCTAACCCTGCAGCTTCTAGGCATTTTCAGGCACCCATCTCTCCCTCCTCCGAGCTTCCTCGCTCTACAGAGCATCGCCAGTTCCGCCAGCTGACTGCTCTGCCTGCTGCAGCCCCTGCCAGCTCCCCCCGGCTCTCTGTGCAAGGCAGCACTTGCGGTCCCCATGGGGACTTGTATTTGCAAGTGCAGGCCTCCCCATCTCCTTCCCGTATGGGATGCTGCTGGAGGCTCCCTCAGGGAGGGCGTCCCACCAGACACTTGAGAAAGTGCCGAAGGAGAGTCCCAGGCACCAGCCGCCTGCTCCCCTTTCTCCTGCTTTTCCCCTCTGTAACGGAGCCCCCTCTTCCCGGAGATGCCGGCACGGCTGTCGGGGTCTCCGTTCAGGTTTCCGAGGGCACAGCTTTTCCACCCTGTGCGGTGCTGGGGAGCGGCAGGATCATAGAATCATAGAATCCTAGGGGTTGGAAGGGACCTCGAAAGATCATCTAGTCCAACCCCCCTGCCAGAGCAGGGTCACCCAGAGCACATCACACAGGAACACGTCCAGGTGAGTTTTGAATGTCTCCAGTGAGGGAGACTCCACAACCTCCCTGGGCAGTCTGTTCCATTGCTCTGTCACTCTTACAGTAAAAAAAAATAATCGGATATTCACCTTGAACCTCCTATGCTCCAATTTACACCCATTACCCCTTGTCCTATCACTGGTCATCACTGAGAAAAGCCTAACTCCGTCCCCCTGACACTCACCCCTTACATATTTGTAAGCATTGATGAGGTCACCCCTCAGTCTCCTTTTCTCCAAGCTAAAGAGACCCAGCTCCCTCAGCCTTTCCTCAGAAGGGAGATGTTCCACTCCCTTCATCATCTTTGTAGCTCTGCGCTGGACTTAGTAGCTCTGCGCTGGGATGTGACAGCCTGGCATGTCGCAGCTGGAGGGGAGGGAAACAACTCCCCCGTTCCCTCCTCGCCTTGCTGGGCTGGGAGTTTTAAAAAGAAAATACCTAAAAAAAAAAAAAATAATTAAAAAAGATGCTTTTCTAAGTTCAGCTGTGGTTAAAGCAAAGAGTCCAAACTCATATCAAACGGAAGTACTTCTAGGAAGACGCTAGAAATGCTGAAATTTCAAGTGCGTGCAAGTTTCGGGATTAATAGTGCTCTGTGGTTAATCTATGTGAGTTCAGTATGCTCTTAAGTTCTTACCGTAAGCTTTTTTTGGCTGGGTGGTTGGCTTTTTAATGCAGGCCTCTGAGGACCTCCTGAGGGAACACTACATTGACCTGAAGGACCGGCCGTTCTATGACGGGCTGGTGCAGTACATGCACTCGGGACCTGTTGTAGCTATGGTGAGTTCTTAGAAGTGAAGCTTGGCTAAGAAAAACATACTGTTTAATTGGCTTATCTGCAGTAAGGCTGTGCTCCCTATTGAATTCTAGTTCACTTTTCAAAGGATTTTAAAACCTAGATTGAAATACTGTAATTGGGAAGATGTACTGTTAACCCTGTTTTCTTTATTTTTTCATAATCTTTCTTTCTTTTGAGTTGCTATGTTAAGAAAGAGGGTAGGAGTAAAGGGACCTTCAGAAACACTAAACTTGCACAAAACCCTACTCTGAAACACCATGTGTCAAGCAAGCTGCAAAATGATGGTGGAATATTTTTACTATACTCCTAAACTATAATAACGTTGAAAAGATTTTTCAGTCTCACTTCATTAGAAGGGATTTTCTCTGTTTTTCCTTGATAGTGTATTTGTCATATAGTTGAGCTGGAGGTCTAGATCTTCAATGAGCAGACAGCTTTGTAAGGCTGTTAACCAGATGGAGATTGACAACTGTTCTCTTCCCATCCTTCATGAGGAGAGGTATGGTGCAGAAGGGCACAGATGCTTCAAGAATCTAACAGAAAAATTGGAGATAAAATATGCCTTGCTACTAGCAATAATCAGATGGTGATTTGTGCCATGATACGCAGCATTGAGTAATTCTGGAAGGTATGATTAACTCTTGCTGCCTTATCTACTGCTAAGATTTAATAACCTCAATGGATTTTATTTTTTTGGTAAATATACGGTGGGGGTGAAAGGCTGCCCTGCATCTCGGGGCGGGGGGACGAGCCCCGCGGGAGGGACACCCCAACCCCGCCGCTGTCCCCAGCTGCGCGACGACGGGAGCTCCGGTCCGGGCTGGAGAGGGGGAAGTGGGTCCCAGTTGGCGCTGCCCCTCTCTGCTGCTTTCTTGGCCTCCCCGAGGCTTCCCACGGGAGGGCTGGGGGAGCTGTTGGCAGGAGAAGGGCTGTAGCTGAAAAATCTCCGCATGTTGGTATGTTGTTTGCCACAAGGAAAGGGGAGGGGAATTTAAAAAAAAAAAAAAAAAAAAAAGGGCTCTGCGGCGCTTGGCAGCGGACGGAGCAGCTCAGGGAGCTGGCATCGTTCCTCGCAGAACTTTTGCAAAACAGCGGAATTGCACCAGCGGTTAGAGCTGCGTGTTCCCTTGGCGGTTCTGAACTGGATTCACCGGGGGGATGTTGCTCAGGCCTCTCTCTGTGCAGAAGCAGCACGTCCCTTTTAAGCTGTCTTGAGGTTTGGGTTTATTTTCTTTAACGTTTGGGGTACTTCTTAGATAGGGTTGTGTTTCGTTCTGCAGCATTTCAAGCGTGTACGAGTGGTGAGGATCATCCGCTCAGCTAGAAGTGGATGTGTGCGTAGCACTGCCAGTGTCCCCAGTGGCTTGAGTAACCAGATCGATGATTTGATTGAACCAGAAGAAGGGGAGGCTGGGATCTCGTGAATGTTCTCCTCCGTGAGACTCGGGGTGAATTTCTCCTCTGCTCTCACGCCTTGCTAGTGTGCCCCTCCCTCCCCTTGCAGAGGGTCCGCGTGTCCGACGTTCCGGGGGCTGATTCCGCACCCCGCACACCGATGTGAATCCACCGGCCTTATTTCGGGGCCCTACCCGTGTGACAGCGGGTTCTGTGCCCTGCCAGGGGGGCAGCGCCCGCGGGCTCCCCGGGACTGACTCGCCCAGGCTGTTTTCCGACGGGTGCTGAAAGTGAGACGGCT